GTTGCACAACTTTCGGTTGTTATTTTAAGTTAATGAAAATGTAAGACGCAACAGTGTGGGGACGGGAACGAAGCGAGTAGAATCCGAGTGGTCATTGTGGTAATGCAATGTTATGCGTACACATCGAAACGAAACAACTACAGTGGTTGGGATGGCAAGAAGGGTAAAAGGATAAGAGGGGGTTGGGGTGAAGGAGGAGCTTCACTTAAGGAAGCAGTTGGCATAATGAAACTTGCAGGAATTTTCGGGGGAAGTACATTAACTTTAAATCAGAGACGGATTCCAAAGCTACAAGTCTGAGCCAGTGTGGCCAGGCATGCACAAAATAATGCAACATTGCCAGCGCAAACTTAAACGCATATTTTCCAGCATTACCATATACGCATGTACATTCGCTTCTGCAGTGGAAGTACTTAACTTAAAGTTCAAGCAATAGCGAACAATAATAACAAGAACAGCCAAAATAATATAGCACTTCCAAACGACTCATTTCACCCAACTAGCCAAGCAAAATACATTGCTCTGCCCGCTGCGAACTGAATTCATCCTTAAAACGAAAACAGCCACCAAAATCTATCCATTCGAGCTGTAAATGTATCCAATAAATTGCAGAGCTTGCCGTCTGAAATTTTTAAATAAATAAATCTGAAAGTTATCTAAGCGTGTCCGAATTCGATTTACAGCATCAAAAACTGAGCAACGGACTACAGTGGGTCGTGAAAAACAAAGGATAAACTGGACAAAATAGAGCGAGAGTGGGAAGTTTGAATTGGAAGCAAAGGCGAAAATGAAAACAAAAAAAGGTAAAGGTAGAGTTAAGCACGGGCCATGGCCGTAAAAACTTTGGCAGCGCCAAATGGAATGAAAACACTTTCGACTGCCAAATTTTGTGTAGCAAATATAGATAAAGGTTTATTTATATCACCGAACCCAACTAATATATGCATGCATAGTTCTGCAAAGGAATTAAAAAAACAAATGTTTTGGTCTCCACCAGGGGACTAGACAAATATGTCATACATAAACAAATTGATTGATGTTGGAAATCTTTTCCGGAGCAAAAACCACATAGAAAACTAGCGCATTAAAGTACTATTTAAAAATTAGCATAACATGCAGATGGAATAAACTCGTTTATAGATTTAATTGCTTTAATTGCTTGTAATATGTAGAATTAAGAAAAAATAAATTAATATAAAAAGCAGTTTGATGTGGTTGATTGCAGGGCTTTTACAGGACTAATGGGTTTCTTTGCCGCGCAAAGAACTCACCTCGCTGTGTGTGGTGGATAATGAGACGTGGTGGGTGGTGTCCTTGGAGTGGGGCGGTGGTGCGGTGGTTCGGTGGGGCTTTGCCTGGCGATTGTTTGTCTATTTATATGCTCATTATGTTTTCGCGCTTGTTTTACCAGCGAGCGAAGCGAAGCGGATCGCATTTGCCAGTGGCTCCTTTGAATAATGTCTGGCCATACATTGTGGTCAGCGGGTGGTTGCTGGGTTGGTTTTTGGGCGGTTGGAGCGGTGGTGCGATGGGCGGTGGGCGGTGGACGGCGGTTAAGGGACAAAGGATAGGCGGGCACAAAGTTTGCCGGCGCTGCAAAAACAAGGAGCGCAATTTGCGTGCTCCCTTTTTTTGTTGCCACTGTGACTGACTCCGCTGAATGAAGAAGTGTCCGGGCATTGTCCTTACAGTGAAACTGCTTGTCAATCACTTGTGTCCTTCGCTTTTTCGTCTCCAGCGGCCCACTCATCAATTAGTCAGCCTCTAATTAGACAGCGAAAAAAGGAACAAATTCGAAGGGCTCGGTTGACAGCAACTGTGTTTTTATTTCTGCAGCATTAAAGGATGAGTTAAAAAGGCTTTGTTTGACTAGTAAATTAAGTGTATTTGCTACATTGCATGCAAACTGCTTAAGCAGTATTCATATACTGGGCCAACGGTGCGTATACGCAATTTACGTGATTGTACATTATGTATACGCACCTTTAGCCCAGTTCGTTTTCCATATTTGTAATATAATCTTCCCCAAACTGCCACTGCCTGCAACTTTAAGGTTCGCATAACAATTTTGTAAAGATATCCTTCGCTCACGTCCACCGACCACAAAAATCCCAGTTCCTTGTGGCCCAAAATAAGGTGGACAGATCGGATTTCTGAGTTTCCCAGGGGCCCTGACCTGCCAACGAAATGAAACGTTTGCGGTTTTACTTCATCAACAATTTGCGTATATTTCATAAATATTTTTAAACAAATTTCTGTCCGCCGTTTTTTCATACGTTTTTTTTTTGTTAGTTTCGTTTTGTTCTGCTTTTGTTGTTTCTGTTGGGTTGGTTGCTTTGTTTGCATGGTGGTTACCATGTTTTATTTGCGGGAATTACACTTTTCGCTTTTGGCAATGGTGCAGGAAAAGAGAAGGGGGGGGTGCAGCCGAAAGGATCAACTTTTTTCCCCAATGCAATGAATATGGCGGAAAGTCAACAGCACATGTGTGTGTGTGAATGTGTGTTTGCGTAGTAGTAGTAGTGTGGCGTGGCATGGGCATAAATGACATCGAGCGGGGCGTGAAAGTTGCATTTGTATATTCCCTACATGACCGTCAAACGGATCCATTGATTTAGTTATTAGAAAATGAGTCAAAAAACAAATTGATAAAAATATATAAAAACCTGGGAATTACTCGAATTTGAAATCTTGAATCCTTGTCATATTGGTTGGGCACCAAGTCGAGGTAACTTTTAGAGGTATTTCTCGTTCGAGGCACTCATCAATTATTGCAAAACATCCTGTTCGGGCCTCTGCAGCCTGGCAGCCATGTGCGTTTGTTTACCCGCACAGGACTCGCAGGACACACGCGGCACAAGCTGGCGGCTGGGGCAGAGGAGGGCCGGAGTGGCACTGGCCAACCACCCACCACCCACTTTCGCTCCCAAGGGTCATGTTTATCTTGCGCTTACAGTGGAAATTCCCTTAAACTTCATTCGTATCGCCGTTGCTGCCATTGTTTTGGTCTGTTGCAGTTTTTCCGCACAGTTTGGTCCCCAAAGTATTTTTTATTGCCCATGCACGCGTGCACAGTTTTCATGCAATTTGTCCTGAATTTTTTTGTTTTTGGTGGGGGGGAATGGGCGAACAACACAGCGCCTTGCTTCCCCTAGAAAATGTTGCACTTCATTTGGCAAGGACACTGCTGTGGGCAGACGCCTCCCATATTAATATCACACGGCATAGCTTTTTTATCGCACATTTTACCCCGATTGAAACATTTTTTCTGCTTTTGTACTCAATGCATTTTTATACATCTGGACTCTAACGGAAATGTACGTTTAAAAAGAGCTTTAAGCTCTCGATTCCGTATCCTGGCGACTGTTATGCGCGGGATTATGTTAAGTTCCAGATTTTTAACAGTCCTGGTAACATACTTGTATCAAAGACATTAGCATTTTGCACAATGCAGCGACTAATTGAGAGCATACAAATCTACAAATGTCCCGCCAGAAATCCCGTCACAGATCCAGCCATATTTTTCCATAGCCATAGCAACCCGCCATAAATAGCACACATACCGTTAAAAGCTACACAAGCGCTTTTTAGCAGTCGCATTTGCACCGAAAAGCTCAGGATAGAGCTTTTCGCAAAATTAACAGTGCAAGTCAATGGCGGCACTTTGACCAATTTTTAAAGTTTCCCAAGTATATCCAAGAAAAATACCATTTTTGATACTCGTATTGATTCGGTTTAGTTTTGCTTCATTTCTTTATTTTCCGTTATGCTTTTAGTTTTTTGCTGCACTGCCAAAAATGAAAACACAATTTGATAAATACTTTGACGGCTTGTAAACCTAACAATAATAAAGATGATAATCATAATTTTTTCTTAGTGTTCTCTCTCTGTCTGTGTGTGTGTGTCTTACAATGTAAATTCCTTTAAACAATTGCCCAAGTTGATAATTAATAACAGCACTTCACTTTAATGGATATAAATGAGTAGCGCGAGCAAAGCAAAACGGAAATGAACAGTGCAACATCAGGAATACAATAAAAATAAATATGCTTGTTTCGCGAAAACAAAAAAAAAAAAAAACTATCACTAAAAAATTCTTAAATCCATAAAACGGATATTTAAGTATACATACATCTATTTTTCGATATACATTCACTGTATATAACATAATCGTTTCCTCATATTTTTTGTATTTATATTAAGGTTTTATTTTTTGTATGTTTTAAACATAGTTTTCTGGTTTTTGTTTGTTTTTGTGTGTTTCCTTCTCAGCTTATCATTTTGTGTTGTTTTCTGCTTTTTTCATTTTTAGTTGTAGCTTTTTATGTTACTTTTAGATTTGGGAATTGTTACATTTTACAATTGCTAAGGTTTTATGCTTTGCTGCTCGAATGGGAACTTTTGATGATAACTTTTAACAATGAGACGATAATGAATATTGAATGGAATTTCTTGGGATCTGCGGATCTCTTTTCTAGCTTACAAAATTTGACTCGATTTTTGAATAGTTGCTTTCATTTAGTTGCTGTTTTTTTGTTTTTAGTTTTTAGTTTTTATGGTAGTTGGTAGTTTTGCATAGTTTTGAAACGCAAGAAATTTTATTTCTTGCTTACAATATGACGAGTTTATTGGCTTTTTACTTATATATTACATATGTATAGCATATAACATGTATATCTGTTAATGTATGTAAATATTTCTAGAAAAGACGTTTAAACTTTTAAACTTTTAAACCACGAAAATGTATTCCGAACGAATCAAGAAACGAAAACGAATTGTTCTCTCTGTGTGTTTTGATAATAAATGTAGTCAGTTCTTTGAGTTCTCATTTGAAAATGTTTGTTGGTTTGTTTGTTTGTTTGTTGTTTTGCTGTTGTTATTTGACCAAACGAGATCCCAGCAGCTCTAGTCCATATATCATCGCTAAGGTTACCCTTGGTTATTGTTTAGTTGGCATATAATGCCCAGAAATTGTTTTAGTTAGCCTACTTACAAACTAATCTCCTCCAGACAGACGCGCAAAAAAAAATGTTTGGAGCTCTCTCTTGATCTAAATAGGTTTTGTTTTTCCTTTTCGTCGTTTAATAAATAGCTTAACAAACTAGAAACTCGAATGTACAATGCGGGGCTTGAGTTGCTCGCCCCATGGGATCTTCATCTGTCTACGATCTATTTTATCTACGATCTCTCGCTCAGAACGCCGCATCGCCGGCATACCAAGGATGCACCCACGGCGCCGATGGCGGCGGAGTGGGTGGATAAATGGTGGGCGATGGCTGACCATGTGTATGATGGGCCGCAGCTGCTGCCGCCGCTGCCGCTGCAGCTGCTGCTGCATGATGATGTGCGGCCGCAGCAGCCGCTGCGGCATGATGATGATGATGGTGCTGATATGGTGCCGTAAATGCAGCCGCCGCCGCTGCTGCCGCACTGCCGTAGTAGGATGCTGCGGCCAGGGCCGCTGCCGCCGCCGTAGTGGGCGAGGCCGTCGACGAAGAGTGCGTCGAGGAGGCAGGCGACAGGCTGGCCAGTCCAGCGGCACACACGCTATGCCGGCGATGCATTATATGTCGTTGGGGTGGCGCCGCCACCGCCGCCGTCGCCGTCGATTGCTGCGGTGGCTGCTGCTGATGCGGATGCTGCTGTTGGTGGGGCGGTGGTGCTGCCGCCTGTGTCCTTCGCTGCCTCTGCTGTTCCCACTCGGGCAGGACATTACCCAAGGGTGGACTTAGCATGCTGGCCGCCGCCTTGCCGTACAAATTGGATAGATAGGCATGCTCGGCTTCGGCCATTTTCTGGGCAGCTGCCGCAGCAGTGCGCGTATTCTTGGCCGCCGTCTGCTCGGCATGCTGCCTCTTCTTAAGCAAACGCTGCTGCTCATGCTGCTGATGGTGGTGCTGGGCTGCTGGGTGGTGCGGGTGTGGGTTGTGGGAGTACAACATTTCGTATGTGTTGCTGGTGGTGTGTACAGGTGTTGCTGATAGTGCAGGAGATCCAATGGTTCCTGCTCCTGGTGGTGTGGCAGGAACTGCCGAAACTGCCGGAGCTGGCGGTGGCGCTAGTGCCCTCCGTCTGGCCAGCACTTCATCACCACTAACATTCGCTGGCGGTGTGAGCGCCCGTCTTCGCAGCGATGGGGCTGCCACCGAAATTGGTGGTGCTATCCCTGCAGACGTTGCTGTTGTTCGTGTGTGAACTGTGGCTGTTGTGTTGCTGCTTGTTGTGGCTGCTGTGCTTAATGGTGGTGTTGTTGGTGTGGCTGTGGCTATTGTGGTGGCTGCTGTTGTGGTTGTTGTTGGTGGCAAATGTTGTGCTCCCCAGCTTAATTCCTAGCTCGTGCGCGTCCTCTTGGCCGGCGGCTGCTCCGTCTGGCGCGTCATGAAGGTCAGCTGCGTCATGTACTTAATGATGTCGCGCACCTGCACAAGCGGCATGTTCTCGTTGTAGTTGCGATCGTACTCCATCAGGATCTGAACTTGTCGCCTATGAAAGTGTATCGGAAATAATACATTAGACAATGCATTCCATGTACAAGCTTATGTTATCACAACTTACCGGTTTGCCTTGTAGAGCTCCACGCCGAGGGCCTCGATCAATCGCTTGCAATGATCCAGCGGCACCGAGGGGAAGAAGTTCTTCTGGAACTCGATGAGCGTCATCAGCTGCTCGGAGTCATTGTAGGCCTTCATATTGATGCAGGGCACCAGATGCTTGTCCACGCACACTTTGAGCACCTTGTAGGGCGTCAGGTTCATGTTGTTGGTGGGTATTTCGGGTATGACGCACAGCCGCTGGGCACTATCCGCCGCATTTGCCGCCGCCGCAGCATGTGCAAGTGCCGCATGGCGCTGCAGATGCATGGAGGCGCTGTTCGAGGAGGCATTGCCATTGCCGTTTGAGCCATTACCGGAGGAGCCAGAGTTGCTTGTTCCATTGTTGTTGCCCGAAGTATTCGACGAGCTGCCGGAATTTCCCGAATTCGAGGAACTGCGTCCATTCTGCTGGGCATGATGGGCTGCGACGGCGGCCAAACGTTGATGCTGGGCCACCGCTGCCGCCGCCACCTGTTGCTGGGCGACCGCCGACGAGTGTTGCTGCAAATAGGCCGCCGATGCAGCTAGTGACCTTCGAGAGGAGGACAGATCGATTACGTCAGTGGGTGTGCTTTGTTGTTGGGTGGTTGTTTGTGTATTGCTGTGGTTACTACTACTTTGGCTGTGTGTCTGACGCCCATAATTACTATTAGTATTATTGTTATTCCGTCGTACTCCTGAATTTGAACTAACCCCACCTGAATTATTGCTAGCTAGCGAAAGTATGGCCATTGGTAGATTATTGCTTTTGGTCGAACAAATCACGCTCTTTTGCCGCCCTGTTGCCCCGCTGGATGACCCGCCTGCTCCGCCCGCCCCACCTGATCCCCCGCCGCCGCTACTGCTCAACGGAGATGGCGCCGTATTCGAGGCACTCGAACTGGAACACGAACTCGATGGCGAGTGCAGAAAGTGTCCGGGCAACTGTGGTGTTATCGTTACATTCGGATTGGAGGCCAAGGTCAGGGTGGCCACATTGCCCATGGCCATGCCCATGTTCAAACCGCCCACGGAGGGCGACATGGGTGGTGATATATACGAAGGCACCAGGGGATTTTGATTTGCACTATTATTACTGCTGGAGTTCGTTTGTATAAATGTCGAGAGATCCGGATTGGCCAAAACCTTTTGTATAACAGCTCGCATTTCGTCCGTCATCACAGTGAACTTCTTTTCGAAATCCTCGAGTGCTTGTGTGGAATTCAGCGGTATGGTAGTGCCACTTCCGGCGGTGGCTACTCCTCCGCCGCCATCACCACCAACACCACCACCACCGCCACCACCACCACCAACACCAACACCTCCTGCTCCTCCTCTTCTACTTTTGGTCAGCGTTATTTCAGCTCCCGAACCATCTGGTATCAGGGGTGGCGCAATGGGTTTGGTAAAGGTCACACCTCCACTTTTCTGATTTTTGTTTGCCTTATTGGGATTGTTATAGTCCAGCATGGTAATCAGATCCGTATCCAGCGGCAGGGAGGGCAAGGCTGGGAAGTTTTGTTTTCCGGCGGAATGGCTTGATCCGGTACCGCTGGTAATATTACCACCAGATCCAGTGGGACTGGCACCTTTCAGCTGCTGGCTGAAGAGCAATCGTTGGGCGGGCGTTAGTTGATTCCACAGCGCTAGATTCGTGTAGTCCGCTCGGGTCGAGGGCAGGTTGTAGTTGAAGGCATTGCTGCCGGCGCCAGCGCCACCAGCCACGCCCCCAGCACCGCCGCCGCCCCCCAGTAGAGCTTGCACATAGCCGGCGGCAGCAGCAGCGGCCACGGCGGCCGCCGAACTGGAGTTGTTGCTGCTGCTCCTATTGTTGTTGCTGCTGCTGTTGCTGCTGCTGTTGTTGCTGTTGCTGCTGCTGAGACTTTTGGCTAAGGCATGTTGTGGTTGTTGATGATGATGATGGTGGCTACTATTGGTCTGGTTGTTTGGTGAAGAGTGTTGCTGTGGTGCATGGTTGTTGTTGTTGTTGTTAAATGTGCTGTTCTGGTGTCGTTGTTGTTGTTGCGGTTGTTGTGTCTGTTGCTGTTGTTGTTGTTGCACCAGTGACTGCTCGACATTTGACCTAGAAACATTATATACAATACATAAGTCGAGGTGACCGCCCCTTTTTTTCGTTTTTTGTTTTAAGCTTGATTTTTATTTACAATTATCTTTTGGTTTTGTGTTTTTGTTTTTGTTTTTTATAAGTTATTCGCTTTAGGACTCATTACTTATTGCATTTTTCAATCGATTTTGTTGTAATTGTCATTTCTCATCAACTAACTAAGACTTAAGACACTGGGACTTTCATTTGGTATGCATTTGTGAATGATTCTTTGAATTTTTCGATTCTCGTCGGCGGGACCGCGTTTCTCTCTCTTCTTCTTCATCATCTGCATCCGCATACTTGCACTTGCATTGCCGATTAAACATATCGGAGACATCGATATCCCGATTGCCTTGGCCTTTCCGCTCGACTGCTGCCGATGAAAACAAATGAGAGAAAACCAGGTGGCGATAGTCAATTATCGTTGGTTTTTGATTACCCGATTCGTATTTTCATTGTATTAATGAAGAAATGAATGCATTTTGTTGTGGTTAATCGCTCTGCTCTTTCTCTCGATCTCTCAAAACAATAGTTTAAGCATGAAATATATCAAACAAACGGCATTTACAATTTTCTTTTATCATTTCTCAATGCTCTTTTGAACTGTTTTCCTTTTCTAAAATATTCTTTCTAAATCGATAATTTATAAAAAAAAAATTATTATATTGCTTTATTTATTCACATAAATTTAGGAAATAGTCTTTGTGTTTTGTGTATTTATGTAATTGCATGAAATTAAATAGATATAAATCTGTTTAAAAAAGCTTTTGCAAAGCTTTGGCCTCACTTTTTTATTTTTCCCCATTTAATTATAATCTTTCTGACGTTCTTTAGTTGTTAAACCAAGTTTTCTAAATCAGAATCGATTGTCAAACAATTTTCAAGTATTATTACTTCAACTTTTGTACACGCATTATATATAATGTATCTAGGATCTTTCACTGTACTTTGTATCTTTTTGTTTTAGTGCTGTTTCTGTGTGTGTGTTTGTGTGAGGTAGGGAAAGGGGTGGGTGGGGCCAAACGGGGTTAAAAAAAACCTGCCACCACCAATAAAAGCTTGTTCTCGTTGTTGTTGCTGCTGCTGATTGTATGTTTCCCCTTTTGTATATACATATGTGGGCATATACATATGTATATACGTATATATATATATATATATTTATATATATATATCAACTTTTGCGTTCGTCACAAGTCGTGAGTCATACCACATGTGTAGGTGTGTGTTGTTTCTTATGATTGTGTGAGAGAATTTGTGGTGTTTTTGTGTTTGTGTGTGTGTATGTGTGTATGATAACATTAGGGGTAGTCAGTACACACAGCCATTAAATAAATGTAGACATGTTTTTTTTTTTGCATTTAGATATATTAAATATATATTTAACCATATTTGAAACGTAAATCATTTCGGTTTCTTCTCTTTTATTATGCGAATTTATGTTTTTCAAAATATGTTGTAGTTCCGCTTTAACATTAAGTTACTATTTTATCGTACAAATAAGAAAAAAAAAAGGAGATGTTTTAAGAGCAAACAAGAAAAAAGGTATCATAATAATATACAAAGTAAGGTTATAACGAACGAAATCATCATCATTCCATTGAAAAGGAAACAAATAGTAGGTTTTCACATAAGTACGTATATGTAATGTTTATAAAGGCTTTTATTCTACGTTCATTTTTATCTTAATCAAGTCGGAGAGGTCATGCAATCGCTAGGGATACTTTCGGTTTATAGGAAAACTCTACAACATGATGTATGTACAGATGCGTGTGTGGGTGGGTGTGAGCGTTTTGTGTGTGTGTATGCGTGTGTGTTTATATTTGGGTTTAGTTCTACTGGACTTATTTATGGAGTGTACTGGAGTAGTAGGCGGTATTGGTGTTAATCGATCGGGTAGTACCGCGCAATCCCAATGCGAGTGATATATTCTCCACCTTAGCCGCGCCTCCGATACCGATAGCTTATTTATTTCACTCTACTTTTTTGAGCCTCTCTTGAGCCACCCTAATGCATGCCGTAAGAGGTTAGGAATCTGGAGACCCGAAAATAAAAAGAGAGAACAAAAGCTCGTCAAGTATTTGCAAAAAGTAGTCGTTTCGATTCGGTTAGTAATGTTAAAATTTTGTATTTTTGTTGTCTTTTCGGAATATGTTATGAGGGTAATTGGGACTTTAGTGGTATAATTGGTTGGTGTTTTGGTATTTATTTTGAAAAACATAATCTCAAATTCGTTATGGACATCGGCGTCCCCTATTCGGCTTGAAACCTACAACAACTTATGGGACATATTAATGTATTTTAATTTTTTTATTATTGCCCATTTTAATATTACCAATTTAGTTAACATACATACGTTAAAAACGAATGAATTTATGTTTCAAACTTGAATAAATATATCACACAGGGCAATAAAAAGTTAAGTGCTTGAATATCGACACAAAAACATTTATTTAGAAACTATGTTTATTTATTATTGGCTTTTCATCAACAAACAACTAATCTTTTTTCAAAAGGGAAATAAAGTTCAATAGAGTTTTTACTTGATGTATTGCATGACTTTAAGAGGCAAAAAAAAATACAAAAAAAACAAAGAGCAGAGAGAAGTTATGCGAGGAACGAGTATTATTTTGTATATTTATTGTAAGACGGTAAAAAACACAGATCAAAACTTCAAATAAAATGCGTGCACAAACGCCGATTTCGGTATGGTTCATTGTTATATAAGTAACATTGAGAATTGGAAAAACAATCGGTGCAATATTATTATATATATATATTTTTTTTTTTTTCGTTTAGGAAAGAGCATAAATTAAAAACAACAAAATTATATCGACTCTCCTGAGATATTCGAAAAATCGTGTGACACCCTAATGGCAGAGCAATTTGGACTCAAGCAGCGATTTCTCAATGTCTAGCCTGCAATTCCCCCCACTACACCCAGCATTTTACACAATTACTGACTACTAAGCATTATTATAGAGATCTATTATACCGCTAATTAAGCTTGCCACGTCCTTCAGCTTATCGATTTTCGGGGGCATCGAAAATCAGATGCATCAGATGCATTTAAGCCTAGACATTGAGAACTCAACCCTTAGAGCGACTTAGTAAACGTGTGTATTTTATATGTATAATATAAACAACAATAGCGAAAAAATAGAGTATAAAGTTTAGGTTCTTTTTTTTGTTTTGTTTTCTTGATATTGGCAAAAACGAATTACAACAAAATTTGAAAAACACAATTTCTGCGCATTTGTATCCGAGATTTCAAATAAAATCAACGTACTAAATGTAATTAATGTAAATAGTCATAAGGAAAGGCAAAATCAAATATAGAATCAATAATATTTTTCTGTATTATTTTTTTTTTAATTTCTTTTTTGGTTTGATTTTTCAAAGGAGAGTAGTGGGGGTGGGGGAGTGGTGGGGATCGGAAAAGATCGGACTGTCGCTGTACTCACATGTGGTTGGCATTTTGACCCGCCGCCGAGCGGACGAGCGGAGGTGGGGCATTCCCGCCACCCCCACTGTGGTTGTTCACCGAGGACATGGAGATCGCGGGATTGTTGTAGGAATACGGCTGCCGGCTGCTGCCGCTCATCATCAGGTTGTTCATGTGCTCCCGATAGCTTCCCACGCGGTTTGCGTTCGCATGCGTTTGCTGCGGATGAAAACAAAGAGATGCAAAAGATGAAAGATGGCAGAAGAAAGTTAGGAAAGTTAGTCGCTATGAGGAACACTTAAGGGGGTTAAAGAGCTTATCATCTTATCAATGTTAATAGTAATAAATCTGCATCAATCATTATTAAAAACCAACTTAATTCAATAAATAGGGAATTATATACAAGTAACAGGCCTTTTGCACTTCATTTCTTTATATTTCGTTATAAATATAACTTTATAAATATAATTATTGAATTGTTTTGGTGACCTACTTTTCCATGTGTGCAATTATGGCCAATTGTTGTGCATAATTAACTATTATGAATGCAAAGAAGGCGGAAGGTATTGGAACTGCAAATTAGTTCAGCAACAACAACCGATTAATTGCCTCAATTAGCCGCTTTAAGACTTTTCGTGCTATTTTAACGATGTCGTAAGCGATTAGAATTACGTTTTCAGGTCTCGGATTTGATAAGATTCTTATTACTCATAGCGAGTATCTAGACGGCTAGTATTTCTTTTTTTTTGTTTTGTTTACGTTTATTTTACGTTTTATACGTTGGAGGCCGATTTTCATTTTGGAGGTCAAAACAAATTGTTCGAGTTCTTAATGTTTTCAGAATATTTCAAAAACAAGTTTAAAATTCAATGTGTATGCATGAATAATCTGGTAAATTCTTTACTCCTTCATGAAATGGAAGTTTACTTTAAAGAAGTCCGACTGTAGTGACAACAACAACAACAACAGCAACAGCAGCAGCATCAACAGGTTGTGGCCAACACACACACTCATGCACAACCAATGAGGAAAAGAGCGGGCACTAGCGGGGGAGAAAGAGATGGGGATGGGCATAGAGGGAGATGGAGCCACTCTCCTATGCACACTATACTGATGACCTAGTTTTTGATGCCGTCGAACGCTGCTGCTGCGCTGTTGCCAAACTGTGAAAAAATCTGCTAGAAAAAAAAGCACGCTAACACAAACACGATATATGTATGTACAGCCCAGCATGTAAGTTTGTGTGTCATTACAAGCGAGGCCAACAAAACACGGCCATGCACTCTCTAGAGAAAACCCTCTGTACGACACATATACATATGTATGTATATACCCCCAATACATTCCATTTCCACTTTTTTCGAACTGATCTCCACTAAAGTCGGGGCTGGATTTTCTATATCAACGATAGTCAAAAAACTTGTTTTAAATGCCATTCTAAGTAGTGACCTAATTTTTAAAACACACACACAGTAAAACACAGCAGAAGCGAATATATCATTATCACATATTATCATTTGTGAAGTTTGTTGCAATATAATATTGAAGTAAAAGTAATGTAACTTAGTGTTCGGAAACACCCAATTAGGTGCTCAAAAAAGGTCACACAATTCGAATATGTTTCGAGCCGAAGGACTATTTCTAGTATATTAGGCATGCAAATAGTTGTCATTCTTTGGGTTTTGGTATTTTTTGATCTGCTTTTGCTACCCCCAATACATTCCATTTCCGCTTTTATCGAACTCATCTCCACTAAAGTCAGGGCTGGGTTTTCTATATCAACGATAGTCAAAAAAAACTTGTTTTAAATGCCATTCTAAGTAATGACCTAATTTTTAAAACACACACACACAGTTAAAAACAGCACTAGCGAATATATCATTATCATCACCACATATTATCATTTGTGAAGTTTGTTGCAATATTCGAGCCGAAGGACTATTTCTAGTATATTAGGCATTGAAATAGTTGTCATTCTATAGGTTTTGGTATTTTTTGGTCGGCTTCCTGGACTCATGGCTCATTTTTGTGTCTGCTCCCTGAATTTTTGGTTTTAACATCAAATGCAATCCAAACCAACTTCAACTAACATAAAATCGTCTGATAAATTTACCATTTTCCAAAATAAAGTAAAAACCAATTGACAAAGATACTGCATTAATGTAAATCATAATATCATTATATTGTCATCAATACACAAATGTTAAGCGACCTTGTATCAGACCAAATTGAATTAGACTTGAGACATTGCTTGAGGAAGAGTGGATGTAAATTTTCTTGAATAGCCCAGAAGTCGAGAAAATTGAATAGAACCCAGAATTTTGGGATACACAATAATAATATTGCAACGCTGATATGATAAACCGGCTTCTATATATCCCACTGAAAGTTTTGCTCGGTTAAAAGTTGATAAATATCGTACATTAGCTGGATAAAAGTAGGCATCTATATGCAGATTAAGATACATTATTAGTCTAGTGATCCATAGCGTTGTACTCACCATCATCTGGGCGTGAAGCTGCAGGTTCGTCTGTCCAGACATCCATCCGCTGCTGGCCAAAGCCTGGACGGTGGCCTGGGACAGCATCCTGTTGTTGCCCTGCGACTGCTGGAGCATCGACGCCGCCTGGGAATTGAAGGCCGCCACCGCGGCTGCCCCAAAACTGTTGGCCGCATTCGCCACACCATTGGCGCCGACGGCAGCTGCTGCTGCGGCGGCGCGTTGCTTCATCAGATGCTGTTGATGCGCCGTCGCCGCTGCTGCAGCGGCAGAGGCAGCGTGCTGTTGCTGAGATTTCGAGGTCACCTGTTGGCCACCGGCGGAGTTTGCGGACGATGATGCGGATGATGAGTTCTGGCCCATGCTACCGCCGCTGGAGGAGGAAGAGCCGCCTGTCGATCCAGTACCGGAGGTGGTCACTTTTGGCGGCGGCGCCGATGGCTGGCGGGTCCAGTTGACCGAGTTGTTGACATTGGCCCGATTGCCAATCAGCAGATTCGAGTCAACCACCTTGCTGGGCCAGTAGTCCTCAAATTCGGTGCCATTTGGGAAGTAGCTTTTAATGTCCGTCAGCGAAATGACGGCTACATTCTCGCTGGAGAAGAGCTCGTTGCGTATGCCCTGCACTTTGCAGCAGAACTTTAGATAGGCCAGGTCCCAGCCATTGAGCAGCTCCGCCTTGGTCTTTAGATTCTCGGTCTCGCCCTCAAAATAGAATAGCGGCACAACCTGCTGATTGTTGCGCACAGTGTAGGGCACCACGGACTCCTTGTTGATGCGAATGAAGCCGCACTTCTCCGACGGCGTCTTGCTGCCGGAGACCAGTTTTCTGTAGCAAATGTCCAAGAACTGATAGAACTTGGATGCGTCACTGAGTCGGACCACCAGATCCTTTTGGTTGAAGATGTCGCGACCGAACTCCCCGTCGCAGTGCTTATGATTGATCTCGATGAAGAGACGTGCCTCCGCATCGGTGATGTAGTAGCTGCGCACGCAGGTGCAGCTCGAATAGATATCCGGATGCAGGCAGTTGAGGTATTTGCCCAGCAGTTTCAGCTCGATCATGCGCACGGAGCAGTACTTCTCCGACTGGCGATAGATGTACGGTATGGATACCTTGCCGAATTGAGCCCAACCGAAGTGACCTTGAATGGACTCCTCGTCGCAGGGTCCCGTGGAGGATTTCTTGTCCGAACCGGAGTCGCTGACGGCTCCGTTCGAACGACCATTGGAGGCCAAGGCGGGCACCACCTGCATGGTGCCGTTGGGTAGTTTCTGATGACGAGATAGATAGCTCATAATATTTGTCTGGCCATTGCCATTTGTGATCGGCGGCTGCATGTTGCCACCGGCTGAGGCTGCCGCATTGGCGCCCCCATTCGAGTGCTGCATGGCCGCTTGACGGGATGCCTGCTGGGCGGCCTGTTGCTTTTGCTGCTCCTTCATTTTGGCCGCTAGTTCGCGGATCTCGGCGTCATCGGGACGCTCCTGTTTGACGGGCGGGCCCAGGGGACCGCCCAAACTGTTGCCGTGGAGCGGTAGACTCTGGCCATTGGCATCGATGACGCTAGTGATCTGCACATCCTCGCTGGCCATCGCTCCTCCACACACTCTCTCTCTTTTGCTCTAGAATGATGTCTCGCTCGCGCTCTATGTAATCCTTTTCCAGGCTTTTCGATTTTCACAATTATTGGTTTGGGTTTTGGGTTTATATCAGGAGCTGTATTAAAGAAATTGGGTTGTTAATGCAACACTTCGATTAGGAGGATTTTTTTTATATAATTTGTTTGGTGTTTAAACAGAACTAGAAAAAAAAAACACAGCCGGCTTGTTCGCTCTTTCTCTTTCTGGCACACGAACGGTCACACTGGCCGGCTCACATACGCTCACACACACGTGCTTGTTTTAGCTGTTTTCCTTTGGTAGTGTGTGTGTGTTAATGCGCGCACTTAATATTTTGTTGTTTTTCGAGCACATTTTAACAATTAGCACACAATGCTGCTCTTGTTGTTTTTCGCATATAAATTATACATCATGCATGTATGTGGTACACTTACACAAACAAACGCTAACTGCATTTTGGCAGTGTGGAAAAAAAAACAAAACTTTTTAACGCATTTGTTGTTATATTTAGTTGCTGCTTTCTCTCTCTCTCGTTTGTTTTTGGTTTATTAAATTCCTTTTTGTTGTTGTCGCGACGACGCTCGTGGTGAAAAAAAAAGTTATTTGGCTCTCTTTTCTTTTGGTATTCGCACTTTTTCGCTAGTTCGCTTTAGCGCTTTTTCCGCATTCGACGCCGACGTACGTCCGCCCGTCTTCGCAATACACAAACGAGTGTGATCGTTGTTACGAAAATTATTTCAACGAAGTCAACTGAAAAATGTGTGCGGCACACAGACACACACAACAGTGCGCTCACACACACTGGCGCAGCGCGCCGGCAGCGACGCCGACTGCAGCAGCGGATGCAGAGCGCAAAAGAAAAACGGAAAACACGAAATACGAAATACGACGAACGGAAAACACAACAGAAAAAAACAAACACCCGCAGCGCAGTCGGCGTCGCTGCAACGCTACACGAACATTTTGCCGAATTGTTGTTGTTGCTGCTCGTCTCCCTTTTGCGCCCCCTCCACCGGCTTGTGCATTTTCCTCCTCTGCCATCGCTCTGTCTCACCCTCTTCGGCTTCTCCCCTCCCCTTCCTCAACGACCGCCTGCTCTCTCTCTCTCTCCTTCCGCTCATCGACTAGCTCTAAGCTGCGACGCCGACGTCGACGTCGCTGCCGAGTTACAACCCACAGTGGGTAAAACTTTAGCAATTACTGAATTTATTAGAAAGACATTAGTTATTTCTGTTAAATATATACCAATAATAATTAAATTTTAAAATAATAGTACGATTTTATCGAGTTCGATTTTGAATCTATTTGTTAAATCTTTAAGCTCATTTTTAAGGTTTTTAAATATTCATCTACATAGTTTGGATCTAAACTATTTATACTTGTTAACGTTTGCTATCAAACCTCATTATTTCAAATCTATTAAACAAGCCAATCTGGGAATCAAGCTGATTCAAAATATAAAGCCCATTTTGTGGTTTACTGAATAAAAATGGTTACATACATATGTAATTTTTATGTATATATATAATCCATATATCCATGGCCATTTTCCTTGGCATTTTAACCACGGTACAAGGAAAGCTTAAGCTATGCTATGTACAAGACCCACACACAGACACAGACGCAGACACAGGTTCACGCAGAGCTGGCTGGGTCACAGTATTGGTATTGGTTTTGGTATTGGTGGTGTGATGATGATGTTGTTGCTTTTGTGCGGGTGTGGGCGGGTGGGTACTCTTTGTGGGCGAAGGCGTGGTGGGGGCGGCTCTATTTTTGGCAAGCACCAAAAGCAAAAGCAAAGGCCCCTGCTTAGCATTCGATGGCCACCTCTCCTCGCTCTAGCCCTCTCCCTTTCCCACATGCCATCACTCTCCCCGTCCCTTTCGCACCATCGAATGCAAGAAGTTTTCGGTATTCGCGCGCTCTGCGGCTTTCAAGACAGGCCCCGTTCCAGAAGGCAGTGAAAACTGGGAGCGAACGAGCACGAACACGAACACGAACATCGTTTGCGATACACGAGTACACGAACGGGCGCAGCTCCGAAAGGTCGTCCCCCGACTCTAAACATTTACCAAAAAAAAATTTAATTAGCCAAGTCCGAATCCCCCTTTTCGAATTCCATTGTGCCTCCATCACACGGGTCTAAAAAGATAACTGCCAGTTAATAACGAGTCCCGAAAAGTACAGTCAGATCAAAACAGGTGTTCTTTGGTCTCAAAAACTATACGTACAGTTGTGCAAAAACATTGTGATATTTTACTATAAGAAATGTCCATTTAGCTTTTAGAACCAATTATAGCCTATTAAAGGGTCTATTTGCACAGCTAAATATATTTACCTATATATATTTATATACCCTATTTTGATGAAATCGTATTTAGGTTTACAAATATGTAATAAGCTTATGCAATATAAAAAGGACACGCGATTTATATGCACCAATTAGTTTTTTAGAGTATTCAAAAGTCGAATGTCAACAGTAGGCACTGGAGTTTATTTGAATCTTTCGGCTTTGGTTTCAGGAGTCTCCCGGGCTTTTCAAATTGTACGAGCAACTCTCCAGTGCGTGGCTTTCTTTTATTCTTTCGTTCTACGGGCTCCCTATTTCGTGGCATCTCTCTTGATTTTGATTGGGGGTTTTGATTTTGGGTGTTTTGCTTTGCTAATTAGTCAGCTGTGCGCGATGGTGTGTGTGGGTTTTTCTCGTAGCTTGTGTGGAATATGTTTTTGTCGATTTTGTATGGGTTTTTTTTCCTCTACTACAGTTAACCCCCTTCTAATAGTGGCGTATTCATACATACCAATATGCTATATGCTATATATATACATACATATGTATGTACATAAATCTATATGTATGATGCTATGTACAACGGTTGAGTGTGCGAAATGTGCAACAGTAGTGGTGGGCATACGCATTCGACGTCGCCAGTCGCCATCGATGCGAACGAAGAGTGTAAGTGAGTGAGAGACAGAGGGTGTAAGTGCGAGGGGGTGCTGGGGGGCTTGGTAGTAAGAGGGAGACAGCGTGAGAGGCGAGCGTTACGAAAGGCCCCGTTTCGTGCGCGCTTTGCTATGTAAACACGACTAAACATGTGCCTGCATGTATGCGTCTTTCTGCATGTATGCGTCATTCTGCATGTGTGAGTCTTTCTGCATGTATGAATCTAGGCGTACACATGTACATATGTATGTACATATGCGTGGATGTAGACCGTTCGCTTAACCATCAATGGAAAATATTGGCTTGGGCGGTGGGTGGTTCCAAAAAAGAGGACTGGGGTGGTAGGCGAACTGGCGTCATTGCCGTTTACTATGATTTTGACAAGCTTCACGATTGCGCAGGCAACGGAATGGCTATAATTCTTGCACGAAGAAGTAGAACTAGGAGGGCTTACATATGTACATATGTACGTATGTATGTATTTTGTTTAAAATGTTCCTTTAAATGTTGTTTAAAAAAAAAAGTCGTTCTACCATCTACGTACTATGTTCATAGTTTCTTAACACAATCTTAAAATGATGCAGATTTGCTGCGTAACTTTCAGTGGAGAATCTGGCCAATCAATGGGGACCGGACATCCGTTCGACCCCGGTTTCCCCATTACGAGACCCTCCACCTGCCCCACCCCCCTTTTGAACCCGCAGCACTTTCCACCACAATCTTCCCACTCACATCACTTCTCTTCTGCCCACTGCTTTCCTCTCCTCTTTTCACTCTCCGCTGCACTTTGCTTTCTGCTTTCGGCTAATGCGCCCGCAGCACCTGAGAGCGTTACTGAGTGTTGGTGTGCCGGTGTTAATGTGAGTGTGTGACCCCCCACCCCCTCCGCATCACACCCACTGCTTTCAACACCCACCGCCCCATTGCCATCTTTAACCCTCTGCGTGTCAATTACCAAACGCTTTCAGTGAGTACTTTTTAGATGGAAAACAAACATTCGGGTTGAAATGTTTAACGTTATTCCTCTTGGGTTATCTTTTTGGAGTAATACTTTAAATGTGTTTGAACTTATTCCAGTACATATGTACCTATATGCATAGAAATTTGTAATTTTCATGATTTCGATTTTTGATATATGTATGATATGTACAAATAAGGGTTGGACGTTAAAGCTTTAATGGGGGATATTCTATTCAAGTCTAGAACATTGCCACAAAGTCGCACCTGTCGAAAATAATAGTACCAGGCGGAACAGGTGGTTCTCCAGTTTCCCTAAAACAATATTTCCAAGTAATTTTAGAAACAGTTCAAGTAACAATTTCTAGATAACAGTTTATTTATAAATGTTGTATATTTTTCAAATGTTTATCGCTACATTCGTGTGGGTAAATAGTGGGTTAAGCGTAGTTTTAATGAAACTTTTTACGCAGTTTTTGCGGTTGCTTGTGTAGTTTTAGCCTGTTCTGTTCCCGCTTTCATTATCAGTATCCGCATCTTTTGCTTATCATTTTCGGATTCACTCGATGATGTCTTGGTGTTTTAGCTGCAAATGCAGCTTCAATTTACGAGCATACAAAAGAGGCCCAAAAAAGACGAAAAGTGCTTACCAAGTTTGCACACAAAGGCTTATACATACATGCATGCTCATGTATTGTTAATACATAGACATAAATATCAACACCGATGCACAGTTTAGTTGGCTGCCTCTTATGCACTTTCATTCGCCTGCTGCAGCTGCTGTAGCTCTATCTCTATCTGTCTCTCTTTTCAGCAGTCTATCCCTCTTCCTCCCACCTTCTGCGTTTTCCAGCCCTTGGGAACTTTTCGAACTCCACTCCACTTCCCTTCTCCACTTTCTTTTCGCCGTGTGAGTGTGTGAGTTGGCATTTCTTTGCTGTAAGTTTTCAGCGTATCCGTCAATCGGCACAAAAAGGTGTTTTAAAGAACGTGTCATAAATTAGTTTGCACCTCTCCCATATCTTATCTCCTGCTCCTCCGCTTCCCCGCTCATCCTCTCCCACTTCTCTCGGTCTCCTCTTCGCCGTGTCCTTCGGTGACAGTTGGCAACTCCGGACGCAGGACCACCTGGTCCCCCCCTCCCCGTTGTAATTGATATTTCTCGTTCTCCATTGTCATCACTGGTCTCCCTCTGCTTTCGATCTCTCTGCACATGGCTTACACCTCTGCCAATGTCCAAGAGGTCAATTAGGCTTTTCCTATAGGCGTACTTTTCACAAATTAGCCGCAGATGCTCAGTTGGTCTCTTTCCATTACAATACATTATAGAATATTCATTTTGTTCCAACAAAGCTATAATTACTATGTGCATATATACATTGTACATATTGGAAGCTCTGTCGAGTGCTATGTATGTATGTACATATATGCTGTGAAGGTATAGAAAATATTTTCAAAATTATGCTACTGCCGATTTTATTTTATTTACTTTCGGCCTGGAAGGAAACTTATGTTTTTCCGTTTGGTGTGTGCTTTCCCCGCAGCAAGTTGTGCCCTACACCTATTACTGATGGTCATTTGAGTTCGCCTAATGTGTATAATGTTTTGATTACCTACATATAAGAGCTTGTGCTACAGTTATATATATACTGAGAGTACATACATACAAATGTATCTTAATATAGAAAATCAACGTAGAAAATCCATTTAGGATGATAAGTATAAAGTTGTTTTATTCTATAGTTTCAAGCTATAAATACATACATACATGTATCTCAAGTGTAGGTCATTTGAAAGTTCGGATAAGCCGGCATCGCGAACTTGTGACCCAAACAACAAGAACAACACTAGTACAGCCAGCACTCATCGATAAAAAAAACGCGAAAAAAGGCAAAGAAGAATGCAGTGATGGTGT